GAACCCTGGCTCGCCGTGTTGATAGGATTGGAGCGGAGCCATCACCAATTTCGGCATTCTAAATGTCGGCATTATGAATTTCGACATACGTCCTCTACTCCTATCTTCCAATCTTCCAATCGACTGTCGAAATCCCGGGCTCGCGCGAGGCTTCCCTTTTTTGCGCGCGATAGCTATGGGGGATCGCCTTTACCGGGGGGAGCTGATTGAGATCAGTCACCCTCCGGGGGGCTGGAAAAAGAGCTAAAAATCGAGAGCCGCAGAGATGGGCGAGAGACGCTCGATATTTGCGTGACCCGATTCGGACGGGGCTGTCTCGGCCCCCAAAGCTCGAAAAAGGGGCTTTTACTTTTCCGTTCATCTTCATCTTGCGAGGGCACTCGGCCCAATTTTTGATTCCGGGCGGTGATACTTGACCTGCTCCGAGTTGTGGGCGTTGAGGGGTACTTGGAAGCGATGGGAAAAGTAGGATTTAAAACAGCGAGCTAAGGAGTTAAAATTTGAGCTCTATCTCTCTCTGTCTCTTGATCAGTTTTTCTCTCTCTCTCTCTCTCACTGTCTCGCGTTTCTCTTTCTTCTCGTACCCTTGCCGGCACCATCCCTTTAAGAGTGGTGTTTTTGGATTTTAAAGGCATACTGAGATCAGACTTTTGAATCTCTGTTTCTCGCCATATCTCTCGCTCTATCCCTCGCTTTGGCACTCTCTCGCTCTCTCGCTCACGCCCTTTTATTGGCTTCCCTACTCCCTTCTCCTATTATGAGTCTCGTTCACTTTCTCACAGATGCCTCTTTCTCCCTCGCTCTCCCTCACTTTCTTTCCCTACCCATCCCCCCTCCCTTTCTCTCTCCCTCTCTCTCTGTCTCTCTCTCTTTCGCTCTCTATCCCTCAATATCCTCCCCCTCTCTCTCTCTCTCTCGCTTATGTTTTGTGTATCATCCCAGCATTTTCGAGACGTCAACAAATTTTCGTTTTTCACTCCATTTTTTGAACAGTGCGCGTTCCTTTCCTATCACCAATTAGCGAATTTGGTCCCGCCACCAAGAGGGTATCCTCCCCCTTGCACCATCCATAAACAGTCGAAAATTGTTTTCTTTCTTTCACTGTCTCTGTCTCTCGCTCTCTCTCTTTCCCTCTCTCTCCCTCTCCTGCCCTCAGAAATGTCGTCCGAGATCAGCCGGGGCATCGCTTTCCCGCCGTCCCCGTCCCCTTCCCCCAAAAGCGATAGGATGTGCACGGGCGAAAAACTGCCCGAAAAATGAGCTGGACTCCCTGTCGGACGCGTGTGTTTTCTTGTTTCTCTCTGCAGCCATCCCGTGGGATCTGGGATTGGAAAAAAACTAAATTGGTCGGCCTACCCGTACGTTTCGGACATACTACATTACAATTCTCCAAACGTTCCACCTGAAAAGTACCGGCTCGTAATGACCTTTTGAAGACAACACGTTCGCTCTCTACTATACGCTCCTTGGTATTACCTTCTAGTACGTTACATTCTTCTAAGCGATCCGTTTCGATGATGTATCGGCGCGTAGTCTTTTAGGACGGTACGCTCCTTTTCACATACCTTTCACGCAAGTACGTTACAATACGCCATCCGTTCGCTTTCCGTTAAGTATCGTGGCGCAGCGTATTTTTGAAGAACTCTCCCTGGTATATTCCTGCAAGTACGAAACCTTACTATACACGTTTCATTTCGCTCAAATAACGGCCCTTCATGTCATTTTGAAGACGATACTTTCCTAGTGCAATTCCTTCCCGTACGCGACATTCCGCTAAGCGTTTGGTTTGGTTTTTATTAAGTATCGTAGCGTAGTGTTCCTTCGAAAAAGAAGCGTTTTTTACAGAACTTTTGAAGCGTTGCGGTACATTACATGCCTCGAAACGGCCACTTCATGAAAAGTATCGTCGTGTAGTGTTATTTATCGTATTTTCACGGTTTATTCCGCTGAATTCCTTTAATTTCCATGTGTTCCACCTACCGATTGAATCCGATTTCGAGCCAAATCTCCGTTCGGATCTTACTCTCCCTCGCTCCCCCTTTCCCTCCGAACCGTATTGAGGGCTACGTCCGGCTCCAAATCCCCCCGAAATGCCGCAATCTGATTTTCCGAGGGGCTTGACCCGCGCGTCCAGCTGTGAATGAGTGACCGAAACCCGAAGTTTCCCAATTTCTTGAGCATCTTCAGTCCTCGAAAAACTGGTAGAAGTTTTTCGTGGTTTCCAAATTTCAATTTTTTTTGCGGTTCCTTGAATGCTTAAACTTAGACTTGGTCTCTGGATTAGGCTGAGGCTTAGCTTGGGTTTAGCTTAGGTTTAGCTTAGGCTTGGCTTAGGTTTAGCTTAGGCTTCTAAAGACGCAGTGAAGCTTTGTATTTTTTAAAGTTTTTACCAAGCTTTAAAAAATCTTAGCAGCCTTTTCTAGCGTCCAAAAACCAGCTTTCTAAAATCTTGGGGTGACCACGACTTCTTAAACTGTGCCATGTCCACATGTCCGGGCACTTGTTGTTGTCCAGCGGCGCGCCAAGACGTATGCTAATCCGACCAGCCAGCCGCCGCGCTTTGCACCGGGGGTGCTGACAAGCCTCGTTTCGTCCCCATACCATTCTATTCTATGCCCCATTTGTTCTGTTCTTCGCGTGGAATCTAGGAAAAGCCGGAGCTGTGGTACCCGTTTCTAGCCGCCCCGGTTTTGCGCGTTTCTCGTAACTATTCTCCTTGTTTTTTGGCGCTGTCCGCGTTCTGATTTTCGGCATTGACTCCTAAAAACTGCAGCTCTCTCTCGCGATCTCTCGCTCTCTCTCGCTCTCTCTATCTATCTATCACTTTCTCTGACTTTCGCTCTCTCCCCCTCTCTCTCTCCCTCTCTCGCTCTCTCGCTCTATCTATCTATCGATCTATCACTTTCTCTGACTTTCGCTCTCTCCCCCTCTCTCTCTCCCTCTCTCGCTCTCTCGCTCTATCTATCTATCTATCTATCACTTTCTCTGACTTTCACTCACTGTCCCTCTCTCTCGCTCTCTCTCGCTCTCTCTCGCTCTCTCTCGCTCTCTCGCTTTCTCTCTCTCTCTCTCTCGCTCTCGCGCTAGGGTTGCGAAGTTCGTATTCATAGTCCCAATGTTTAGACATTATTTTACCTGCAATATTCTTACGCTAAATTGCCTTGTATTTCCGCAAGGATCTGTGCTAACTCGCCTCTTTCTATTTGGTTTTTATGTTAATTTTTCCTATTATTTTGCTCTATTTTTTTTTGGCATTTTCCCCCCAACCGCTGTTCCAAACCACCCACCCACCACTCGCTATTCCGATGGCCTTGATTGTCGCCCGGCGGCCTGGAACCCTCTAATGGAACCAATTCCACGACCGAGAGGTTAAAGGTGCTCCTCAACAACCCCCACACAAATTCCGCTCCATTCCTCTGTACACCCTCTCCCCACGGATCTTTTGTCAAATTTTCGACCCCTAGCTAACGTTACATTTCATTCCTCTGAACGCACCTTTCGATCAAGTAGCGACGCGTACTCGCTTTTACAGGCTATACGTCCTCCTTGTCGATACCAAGGCGCTTTACATTACGTTGCATTACCCTACACGCATGTGTCGTAGCGTAGTGTCCTTTCGAAGACGCTATGCTCCTTTGTAAGTGCCTTTAACGCATTGCAGTACGTTACGCTACTCTAGCCGTTCGCTTTTCGTTAGAAAACGTAGCGTAGCGTACTTTTAAAGTCGATACGCTCTTTGTTTTCGCCTGCTATATGTGTAGTACGTCACATTACTCTAACCTTCGCTTCTTGTAACGTATCGTGGTGTGTGTATTTTTGAAGACGATACACTCCGTTGTATATTCCCGCTAGTACGCTACAGTACTCGTTTCGCTTCTCGTAAAGTATCGTAGCGTAGCGTACTTTTGAAGATGGTATGCTGACATGTAAATTCCTTTGAGTACGCCACAGTACTCTGTTCCGGTTCTCTGAAGTATCGTAGCGTAGCGTACCTTTGAATACCATACGTCCGATTTCGCCTGATATCTAGCACCCATTAATGAAACCAATTCCACCACGAAAGGTTAAAGACGCTCCTCAACAACCCCCAATAAATTCCGCTCCATTCCCCTGTACACCCCTCCCCAGAGATCTTTTGTCAAATTTCGACCCCTAGCCAACGCAGCAGCCCAATCCGATTGTCCGCCACAATACCCGCGGGGCGCGGAGGAGCGCGCGAACTCTCGGCGTGAAAAAGCGAAAAAGCCGTCCGATTTTCGGGAGGTGCTTTTGGTTGCAAAAGCGGGGCGAAAAAGCGTAGCGCGTTCACCCGGGCTTTCACTGCTTTTTTGGGGGGTGGGTTGGGCTAGGCGAGGAAATTCGGATGCAAAGTTGCCAGTCCTTTTTTATCAGTTTGTGTAAGAATTTTGGAGCTTTTGCATTATCGGGGGGGGGGGGGGTGATTGGTTTCTGCAAGTCCAGAAACGCCTATTTACGTAATTGTGAATATTTTAATCGTGTTTTTTTGTAAAATTCCACGCGATTTCAGTCGAAAGCAATCAAAAAACATAGACAAATTTTTATCTAAAATTTTGGTCGAAAAACCCCGATTTTCATAGAGTAAGTAGTTTTATCGTGTTTTTGATAAAATTTGAGCCATATATAGCATTGAAATCCCATTAGAAAAAAACTCACAACTTTGAAAAATTTGAAATTTTTTCGAAACTCGGACATTTTTTCGAAAATGTCGAAAATCTCAGCATTTTTTTATTGTTTGAAAATAGATTAGAAACACTTCTTCTATTTAGATTAGCAAAATTGGATCCCTAGAAAAGTTGCCTCCCCCGATAATGCCAAAGAACCGAAATTACACTATAAACTACAAAATAATAATTTTCATGTTCTCCTTTTTTAAAAAATTCCATGTCAATTCTATGCCAATTTTTTGCAGAGATGAGCAGATAGCCGCGGTGCACTCGACCCGCAAGGACCCAAATACCCCCCTCTCTATGCGTGCTGAAATGCGCCCTCTTACCGTAGCCGTGCTGGTGGCGGTGGTGGTGGACGTGGCGGCAGCCGTCGTCTCGTCGACGCCTCTACCGTCGACCCTGTCGCCACTGTCCGCCTCGGGCTCCTCACAGGATCTCTGCTCCGTATACGACCCCTTCAAAGTGTTGCCCGACAATAATAAGGTATGTTGAAGGGCCAAGAAGTATGATTATGGATTCTCGGTTCTGGGTCGCTATCGGGGGGACCAGAAAGGTCGAATTCCGGCCATAGGGATTATCGCGAAGTATCGGCTTTCTTTCAAAAGGTCGGAAATGTCGTAATGTCGGGATTCCGCATGGCAAAATTCAGAATGTCGGAATGCCAAATGTCGAACAAAAAATTACATAAGCGCATTTCCCGGTAAAACCCCGAAAACGATGCAAAAAAAAATTCGTCATTGCGACATTTCGACACTGTGATTTTCGACGTTCTGAATTTAGAAATTCTGATCCCAAATCCGAAACATCATATCCCGAATTATCCCGAACCACAAAATTCCGAAAATTAAAATCCCGTCACACAAAATCCCGAGAGGCGAACCCCCCACGGCACAAAACTCGACAGCCAAAAGACCGCCATGATCCTGACGCTGATTTTAATGGCACTTCCCTTTAAGGGGCTATTTCGCATGTCGGGATTTTGCCTGTCGGCATTTTTGTTGTCGGCATTTTGGCTGTCAGTCTTTTCGCGGCCGGGATTCTGGCTGGCGGGATTTTTTGTCGGTATTCTGTCTGCCGCGATTTTGGCCAGTTCCTAGGCTAGGCCCTTTCAAGGGCGACGGTACTAGTTCCTTAGCGGGGGGCTTTTTCAGGTTTTGATCGACGCCCTCACTGGAAAGGAAGTTTTTAATAGCATTTTACCCCTTTCTGGATGTGGGTGTCAATTCTCAAAAATTTTCGAAAAATTTGGATTTTTTGGTCCTACCCCAAAAAAATGGTACTGGCCTATTAGCGGGGGGGGGGTGGTTTTAGCACCGAGCTGAGTTTTGATTTGACTTCCCGACCCCTTGAGCCATTTTCGTACATCGTATTGAGGTGTACCTCTTGCTCCCCGGATGTACACAACGATTTTTCAGTTCCAAATCGGCGGCTCGTTCCCGCTGCACGCCGAGGATTGTCGCGAGCTGCGCCCTGACACTGTTCAAGGTCGGTTTCTGTAGTTTGTATTTTGTAACACATCGTTTTTAATGCCAAATCAACTTTTTTCCTATTTTATTAAACATTTTCCCCTTGCAGAAATCGTGGCAATCCAGTGGGCGCTGACCCATTGGAACCAGAACCCGAACAACTTCAACGCGAAGCTCGGCCTCTATGCCGGCGACTCGTGCTCCAGATCGCGGGAGGCTCTTTCTCAGGTATTTTTGAAAGGCATTATTTTTATATTTATTTTAGAGCCTCCGTTTCCTCGACTCTCTTGGCTTTTTGGAGCCGGCGGAGTGCCGGAATCATGCGCCGCCCGCCCGATTGCTAGGTTGGTTCAGAAAAGTTTTATAAACTCAAAAAATATCATGTTTTTCATTTAATTTAACAATTTTCATCGTGTTTTAGTAAATTTTAGCTATATCTAAAGTGGAAAACCAGAAAAAGTCTTAGAAAAATTCTTTGAAATGTTTGTCGAAAAGGGTAAAAAACAGCCATTTTGGTAAAAAAAATCGATATTTTTTGTAATTTTTAACTCAAACCTTGTAAGAATTTTTACTTTTAGAAATAGCAAAAAAGGTTTAGAAACGCTTCATTTATTTATCTTGGAAAAATGTTCTTCGAAAATCTCCCCCCCGATAATGCACGAGAACCTAATTTAGCTACTTTACATTATTTACGCTACTTTTACGGCTAAAACAACCACTAAAGTTGTTCCATTTTCAGGAGTGATCGCCCCGAAAGACGCCGGCTCTTCCGGTCTCCTTGGCCGCGTCGTTGGCCAAGCCGCACTCCCCGTGGCCTCGTACTCCTTGGAGTCGTCGACCGTCCTCGCCCATCTCCACCCACAGACGTTGATCTCTACCACGCCCACAATTGCTGTCTATATTGAGGTGAGCTCGAGCGCGCCTTCGACTTTCGATTTTCTTACAAAACCAACTCAATCCCTTTAGGCGGCCATCCGTGTGCTCGGCCAATTCCGCTCAAACCTCGTGATCCTCGTCGACAGCGGCGCCGACCCATCACTCACCCAAGCCGTCACAAAGCAGCTGAAAGAAGCCGATATCCACGTGGCCGAAACGGTGTCCATCGGCGAGCCGGCCCTCATCCCGGCCCTCACCACGTCGGAGGCCACTATCGTGCTCTCGATCCTGAACCTCGATCAGCTCATCTCGGTGACCACCCACTCGCTGGTGTCTTCGCTTGAGAAGCTGTGGGTGAACGTGGCGCTGGAGGGTGAAGCGCTGCCTGATGATGAACTTCCAGCGCTCGTTCCCGAGGGTGCTGCCCTACAGGTTCGATAGTTATTCTCGCGCCCTTAAAATACCCCTTGAATGCAGGTGACCCTGGTCCAACCGCGATTCTCCGAATTGCCCCAATTCCGCGACTACTTCCTGCGCGTGCTGAAGAACAACTACCAGAGCTATTCGCTGCTCACCTCATATGTTAATCAGGTAAAAAGATAGCACCGAATTTGGAACCTGGTCTCAAAGAAATTATTTTTATTGCTGGTTTTTCAGGTCTACAACTGCACCGTAGACGATTGCGAGCTGGCCGATGCGATGATGGCCGAAAAATATGTGCAGGTAGGTTTTTAATAAGCAAAAATATGCTTCAAAAGCTTAAAAATAAAGTGCAAATTATGTAAAATATTTTATTCTGTTTTCTACACGCAATCAATAGCTCTAATTTTATTCGGGAAACCGCTGGCCATTCCAGAGTCGCCACACCGAAGCCGCCATCCGACTCGCCTACACCTTTGCCGCCCTCGGCGCCAAGGTTGCCGCCGACGCCAAGAAGCTCAAGATCTGGTGG